ATTATCTGAGAGAAGCCTAGGGCAATGAGATGAAGGATTCTTAGGATAAATCTGGTTTACATAAACAGATTTGGTGCAACAGTATAAAACAAGTATTCAGAAAACAAGTATCCTTTATATGTTTCTGTAATTAATATAAAAACGTGGGCTGTAGAAAAGGACCTTGTGATTTTGGAGTCCAGTGAAATAAAGTCATATTATATCCTAAAACGACTGGTGTCTGTCACATTAGTTCTGTTTAACAGAACACCTGAGATATTAAAATCTTAAGTCCAGACAGATCTATTATTATGCTTACTTAAAGTGATGGATTTGTTTTCTTGGCTATATTACTAAAATATATTAATTTTGTAAATAGCATTTAAGACTGAATATGTACTGTTAAACGTTGCATCTAGAAATGTTGTTTGAGAAGCAATGGAGATTTAATATGGTTAAATAGCCATGATCATTGTTAACCATTTACTAAAGGGACAAATAATGAAAATCATTTTTAAGATAGAATTTATAGTAATGGTCCCTTATCTTAAGGAGCTCTGATTACACTGTTGGTGGGAATGTAAATGGGAATAATGTATTTTCGAAAACAGTTTGGCCTTAAATTGTAAAGTTGAACATTTTCATTCCCAACTGTCCAGTAATTTAATTCCTAGCTATAGACCCTGGAGGAATTTTTGCATATATGCACTAACAGCTAGTACAAAAACAATTCATGAAATCATTGATCATAATAGCAAAAAACTGGAAACTCAAACATCCAAAGAAGATGAATACATAAATTATAGACCAGTCACATGGTGGAATATTATATAGCAGTAAAATGATTGAACTATATGTAATGACATGGAAGGATCTAGAAATATAATATTGTGAAAAAACGAGTAACAGAGGACGATACATAGTACGATACCCTTTTATAAAGCTCAAAACCAAGCAAAAGTAAAAAATATATTATTTAGGGATGCAGATGTTATTGATGATATTATTTTTTAAAAAGATAAGAGAATGATAAAAAGCAAAGTTCAGGCTAATAGCTACCTGTGGAGGACAGGTAGGGAGATAGGATAGGGAAAGAACTCCCAGGTTGGTACAAAGATTGGTCAGAGTCCAGTTTTTAGGTCAGTTGGTGGGTTTATGGGTATAGTACTCACGGTTGCTCTGCTTCATAACAGTACCTTCATGCAGTGTAAAAGGTTATACATATTTAGGTATATATTGATAGAATAATAATAAGAGAGTCCTACTTAATACTCAGTACATATTTATATGCAGAAGGCAAAAACAATTTAAAAATACAAATCAAACTGATAATTGGGAAATTTAAAATGTACAGGAATTTCTCTCAATATAAAAGATTCATTTAAAATTTATCTCAGGGGATTTTTATTACATTCATCATCCAGAAGCTCAGCTGATATATTTGATTTTTATAACTTTGTAATACATGGCAAAAACAAAAAGAAATGAGGACATCATGGAACAACATCCCACTAGAAAATAGATGTTATCAAACTCTGTTTTAAAGATTTCTTACACCTAGAAGCCACAACTTGAATTTTTTTTTCTGAGAATAAGCTATATTTTATGTTCTTTTTATATTTGCAAGGTTGACATGAGTTAATTGCATAGTTAAAAATGGTAATTACCTGGTAACTATCACTATTATTGTATCTCATGAAAACCTAGGATTGCAATTAGCTCTCGGTTCATTTCCATGTCACTTGTAATGGTAAAGTATTTGCATAATGTACATTCTATGGTACTCCTTTCTCCCCTGTGAAATTCAGTAAGTAAACAGCACTTTACTTTAGCAACAAATCTTTTAGACTTTTACACAGAGACAAAGGACAGTTTACTTGCACTAGTCTTCTGCCCCACAAATACTCTCAATGGGTGAGGTAAATTCTCATAGTGCAGTGCTTATCCCAAAACTTTAAGTCAGAATTGAGGAAAAAGAATCCATGTATTCTTCCTGAGATTTCTATACCACAGATCTACTGAAATGTTACTAGAGAAGTATAAATTAGATTAATCATCTCAGTGTCATTGGGCGATCAAGGGATATTAGAGTACTGAATTGGTGGTCAGAAGAAATGAGTTTATTTCCAACTTCTTATTTGCTGAATTGTGGTACTCATTTAACATCTTTGTGTCTCACTTTCCTTATATTTATGAAAAGAGATAATAGCTCCTCTATTTTCTTCATAGGATTGTTATGAGAATGGAAATAAGTTGATATACATGAAGAACTTTAACAATCTAAAGGAATATGCAAATGTTAGTTTGTCACCAGAGGAAGATTTTTAAAAAATTTTCTTGAATATCATAAAATTCACAGTAAGCTATAACAAAAAGCTTATCTAGAGCTTTTAAAAATCACTAGGTAAATTACATTAATTTCTTAATCGAAATATGAAAATGCCTATAGGGCCTGCTTGAAAAATCATTTATTGATTTTCACACAAATTAGCAACTTACATGAAAATGTCAAAGCTTATCTCCAGAGAGTCTGCAGCATATCTAGATTAATTAAGTCAGGCCCTCTTCTTTTATTTCTCCTCCCAAGAGACCAGTATGGTCCTTTCTCTTCTTTTTTTAGGTATGGGAGAAAAATGCCTTTCAGGAATATTTGCTGCTGTCATCAATGTAGTAATGTTGTGGACAGGCCAGATTGGGCCCTAGGTTTGGAATTTTTCTACCCCAGAGCCTGGTTTGACTTGTAATTTTGGAGTGTTGATCAGCTTATTTGCAAGTTGCCTTTGCCAGAGAGAAACAGATTCATACACAGAGAGATTGATAATGCACCTGAAAGCCAAAGGTAATTTACAGTAAGAAATATTATAATCTCATCTTCATAATAACACTAATGCATTACCTTTGTTTTATAGTTCCTAAAGGCTTTTAAATTCATTATCTTATTTGGGAACCTCATGACTTATGACTTTTGAACAGAACGACCTAATTTATTTCTAAACTGCTTATTTCCTCTATTTATCAAGTGGAAAATAGCAAAAAGTGTGAAGAACAAGAGACCATATCTTAGTTGTCAAAAATAACACAGTTAACAATTCTTCACATTTCCTTCCTTTTCTATGCATAAGTATATAATTGAGATCATATAATATATGCCATTTAAATGTCAAAGTTTTCATTTTTTCTTCTGGTTAAGATGGTAATCTATGAGTTTTGTTTAAAAAATACTGAAAAAATTGTAGGAAACAGACAAAAGTTCCTAACAGAAAATGAATACCACATATAATTTACTACTGTAGTTAACCATCGTAAACATTTTGGTGTATTTCCTTCTAGTATTTTACTTCTTTTACTGGGAATCAGGCAGCCTCTACTCTCCAGTCTATCGGACTAGGAGCTGCAGAAGATCAGCACTCTTCTTCCTGGACAGGGTTAGCGAGAGTGAATATTTTCCTTTAAAGCTCACTTGTTTCCTTATTCTAAGCTGATTTGTACATTCTTCTCTTCTTTCCCCAACATCTTCAAGGTCACCGATACCTGCCCATAGTTCAACAAGTTATCCTTGATGGCTTCTCAAATTCTACTCACTTCTGCTCATCTCAAGACTCCCGCCCCCACTTCACCTTCTCCTGCGATGATTGAGGAGGTGGAGGGAGGCCGCTAGTTCGGAGCTTCAAAGGCACCACCGGCAAGCCTAAACTGAAGAGTCAGCTCCTCGCCCCGCGGCAGGGTCAGGAGCGTCCCAGGCTCCACTGGGAGACCCTGGTGTTTCTCGGGGAAAGGGTGGGACCAACCAAGGCCTTCGTGGCTAAGTCCCTGCTCCAGGTGAGTCGGCAGCTTGCAGAGAGGCCAGCTGATCCTCGCGCCTCCCGAGGTTATCATCAGAGCGCACTTCCACGTAACTCTGAGTCTTCACATCCTACTGTTCTCGGGAGGTTTTTTTCTCAATCGGAGAAGGCTTTGAGGCCCGACGCTCTCTCTCTGCCTCTGGGGAGACTCAGGGAGGCCTCTGTCACAGAAAACCGACGATCCTCTCGGCCTCGCTTTGAGAGCCAAGAGAAGTACGTCCCTTCTCGCTTGCCTTATGCCTGGCGAGGCGGGGACCGCACTACCGTGCCGCCAGCCGGAGGGGGGGACGCTCACGTGCGGCACTCTGCTTTCCAGCTGGTAGCAGTAGCTCCTGGGAAACCACCGTTCAGACTACCAGGGTCAGTATTATAATGTTCTGAGAGCTCGCACAGGAGGCAGGAACGACCATCCACTCGAACTCGGCCGCGGCCGCGCCCCTTCCCTCCCCCTCGGTTCGCCCGGACCGCCTGGAGCTGCAAGAGCGCCAGCCGCCGCCGAGTAGCTTCAGCTTTTGACAGCTCCGCGCGGGCACCTCCG